CTTTGTCCCGCTTGGGGCCTGGGGGGCGCGGCGGCGCGCACCGGCAGCGCGCGAGGGCTCCATGCCTTTGTCCCGCTTGGGGCCTGGGGGGCGCGGCGGCGCGCACCGGCAGCGCGCGAGGGCTCCATGCTCGTGTCCCGCTTGGGGCAGGGGGGGCCGGTGGCGCGCGAGGGCACAAAAAGATCCTTGCGCTGGCGTCGGGTTGAGGGGAGGGGGGGTGCCTGAAAGCCCCGCCCCCGCAGCTCTGATTGGGCTGGACTCAGCCGCCCGCATTGCTGGCTCCTGTCGGCGGGTGGGCACGCCCCCGGGAGCTGCCCCAGGAAGTGCCGCCACGCCAGCCTCGGGACTTTGGCGGTGATGGTGAGCGAGCGGTTAAAGGGCATCCCGACCAATGTGCGGTTGGGACGCAAGACAGATGTGTGCGTGGGGTTTAGAATGCCCCCGCGGGCCGCATGTTGTGCAGGCCTGCTCTAGAGCCAGCATAATGGGATATGGGTTTGGGTAAGGTAGAATAGTTGCATGAACCCGAGCAGCTTCATGAGCCTCTTAGTGATGTTAGCATTCGTTAAAGAATAGAGATGCTTTCAGGCAGTTCTAATGTACACCAAGGGGACTGACCAACCAGCCTTTAGCACAGCCAGAGCAGAACAGGGAATGCAAAGGTGGTTTAAATCCACGTTTGCAATTCCTTCCCGAGCTGTATTGTGCACTCTTCTGCTGCAGGTGATATTACTTGGAGGGTATTGTGTTGTTGGATGCTGAGCCATCCACAAACACACTGCCATTGCAGACCCCTGACAGGGATGAGTGGCTGCATGGCTGGGGGGAAAATGACCTATTTAATATGACATGGTATCCAGTCACCTACATGCTTAAGACACCCTCATTGGCCCTCCTGTAGTTTCTCAGGCACTATTTCTTTCCCCCCATTCCACTATCGCTGCTGCAATTTAGTACAGAGCAGGGAGGGAGTGGTGAGCTAGCCATCTCATGAATTCTCTCCAAGTGAAGTTCTTTTCAGAATGACTCGTTCTGCAGATGGCATTTTCTGGTTGAAGTGGTAGTTCACACTGACCAAAAGTAGCACAATAAGATGTCGTATGAATCACATCATCATCATCACACATACCCCAACACATACCAATCTATTGGCTCAACCCCGCCTATTGTCGTGTTTGTATTTCATTTTGTTCAGCATCAGTATCTGTCTTCTAGGGACCACATCTATCCTCTTGTTACAGCACAGGATGTATGTGACCACTGAAACCACGCTCAGCTACAGATGAGTGGGCTCTTGCCCTGTGACCTGCCATTGTTGTGCTGGGTTCATCATTGTCCATGGCTTTCCTACCACTGCTATTTGTGGCTCGTTGATTTGAAAATCTTATCTGGCACAAGAATGTGCAAATGATACCAACAGCTATGCAATACTCACCACTGTTGGTTTGTTGTGTTTCATGGGCATGGCCTTTGATTTTTTTTTTTTTCTTCCAAGCACTCTTTAACTACTTGCTTTTTTTGACACGCTAAGTCCTGAATCTTTGGAAAATTTAGTACTAGGGACAACATTTTCAAAAGTGAGTGTGGCGTTTAAACTCCTATGTCACTTACACACTTTTGAAAATTTTACCTTCGGAAACCAGAGGATGTTCTTACACGATGGTGTAAAGTCAGGAAGTAATATTTATCCTGACACTGTAGTGTTCGTTAAATCAGTTTTCCCTGCCCATTCATTAAGCAGAATGCCTCGCTGTGATGATACCCACTTGGTTTCGCTCACTACTGATGTGCAGTGGGGACAACTTCCTCTTGGCTGTCTGAGCAGGCTGGTGCTGATTGTAATACTGTGAAACAAGAAAGAGCTGAAGGTAGCAATTGCTAGAGGATCAGAGTAGCCGATTATTTTTTTTAATATTGCAAAATAGGCTTTGAAAATTAAAGAACAAACCATATCCTCTTGACTTGTAAGTGCCGTCTTTGATAAAGCTAGCACTCAGTAGGACACTTAAGCCTTGTAACATTTCATTATCAATGGTGTAGCTCCACTGGTGGTGGTAAGGGTGGAAGTGCTAGTGCGGACTCGCCAGCCGCAGGCTACTCTAATGCTACCGCCAGTGGGAATTGGGAAAAAAATGTTAGTGCGGACACAGCCTTAGGTTGTCACAGGGTGTCTCAGATTCTGTATCTCAATCTGTGTAGTACTGTATTGTCTTTAAAATCACTTTAATGCCTTTGTTTGACCACTGTCGTCTTGTCAGCTGGTACAGTCATTCTTTCAACATCTAACTCACAATGTGTTTGGAGTACAGAATATTGATACAAAGGCTTTGCCAATGTGCTGGTGTGTGTTGGAAATTATGAAACGTATCTGGAATGGGGGCAGTCTCTCTGAAGTGATCTTAGTAAGAGAGGGTGGGACTGATTTGGCCTCTCTCCTTTTGCTACTATATGCTGCTCTGACAACATGGCATTGGTGCAGGTAGCTCTGTACGACATATCCCAGTGCATAGGGGTGGGAGGAGGAGGTGTTCCCATACTGCTGGGTGCTGCATAGATTCTAAGCTGCTGCACGGCCCTTATTGAGCACTGGAGAGGCTGCCATAAGTTACAGAAGCACATAGGGCTTCTTGAGCTGTTTCAGTCCTGCAGCAGCCCAGAATCTGAAAGAGACAAAGGTCGCATAAAGCAACCTTTGCCCCCCTCTTGCCCTGGGTGGTACCGCACAGAATCTAGCCAGATGTGTTTTGAAAGGACATTCTCAGGGTATGTCTGCATTGCAGCCAGGGTAGTGAGTGCCAGCTTCTGTAGACCTACTGGCGCTAGCTGTATTCTAGCTAGCTCACTAAAACTAGAAGGGAGGATGCTATGGTGTGGGTTTCACAAGCCTGCCTGACTCCCCTGAGTACGTATTTGCCTCTGCAGCTTGCACTGAAGCACTCACCACCGCGTCCTCACTTCTATTTTTAGCGAGCTAGCTAGAGTACAGCTAGTGTGGGTATGTCTACATAAGCTGCCATTCACACCCCTTACTGCAGTGTAGATGTACACTCAAATATGGTGACCTGTAAATTTTATTCTTCTGTGCCATTTCCCTGAAATAATTGTCTTTAATAATTTAAACAGAATAGTTGACTTCTTACAAAAGCATTAAAAGAGATTTTAGTAGACATTATTAAAAACCATCAGTGTTGTGGTGATGGAAGTTAACAGTTAGTAAGTAAAACTTGGTGGTTATAGAAGATTTTTTTGTTCTCGGTAAGTCTGCCTCAGCCCATCTCTTCTCAGATAGTTCAGTTGTCAAAGCAGCAATAAGCCTGTATGTTTCTCCTAATTCTTTCACTGGAAGCCACATTTCTGTTTTTAGGAATCTGCAAAAGCAACAGCATCTAATGATTGATTATTACTGTGCAGATACGTCTCTGCTTGGTTTAATGATAAATTTAAAAAATTGTGTCAGAAGAGGAAGTTCTCTCTTCCCTGGACTTCTTTTTGGCTCCCCCAGAAGGGGTGGGTCTTCCTGGAGGAGCTAATCCTCATGCTCAGTGGGAACTGATCTGTATTGATATATTTATTCCTTAAAGAATTTCCTTATGGTAGCATTGATCTCAGTGGATTGCCCTGAGTCTGTTTGTCACTGAGTTCTCAGTAGCTCACCAAGCCAAAAGTACCACGGTATGTTTGATTAGCTAATATTGTTTCCATGCAAGTCACTTAAAGTCTTGTTTTTGTAGCTCCATCACTGGAACCAACACAATCCTTTGATCAATGCAACATGTGGATTTGCAGATGCCTGAAAAATCACAGCTAGGGACCAGATTGTTCAGAGGTGTGGGTTTATCATGTTACCTGTATTCAGTGTCTCACAGTAGCTGCTCAAAGCATTTAGCAATGATTGCCTTCTTATCCTACATTGTGGGAATGAAAGTTTGAAAGAAACCATATTCGCTGCAGTTACCTGCTGTTGTAGATAACTACAGAAAACATTTATTTAATTAGAATATATAAACTGAAGGCACACCAACAACATAAAAATCACACTTCTGTCTGAAAATCCCTTACCTGCAGTTGTTACAAGTCACACATAGTGTGATTGAACAACTGAACAAAAAATCGTTTTCTTTATTCTGTTATATTTACTATGTGTGGTTGATAGCTAAGATACAAGAATTTTCCCTGTTTCTCCTGTTTTTGTGAGTATTTCACACAGTAACAGGGCAGAGAAACATTTTTTCAAGACCTAGAAAAAGGTGATTGTCAAACTGTCAAGGGTCCTCCTAGAATGATCTAGGGACAGGTATGGGACTTGAAACTACTTTAAACTTCCTAAAATGGACTAAAGTTCAAATTGTATCCCTTTAAACAAAGACTGTGAAACCGTATTATGTTTTGAAATCTCCACTTCTATGAATATCGAATCTGTGATCCCGGTGTGTATCCGTTTTGCTAATTCCAAGGGGAAACACTGCCCAATAACACATGTTCCAAGAGCAGAAAGATCAAACACAGAGAACAGCAGGAAACTTCCACACTTTGGTAAGAAATGAAAGCATTGAATGGGTGTATACACTGAACTGCTTTTATTTCTGGGGGGGCAGGGAAGGGCCGAGGGTTAGAGAAGGGGATTAAATACAAAACCTACCCAAAAGAGCAGTGGAAAACTTCTGCTGTTCTCTCGCCTGCTGTAGCTGCTTATTGTCTGACGGCATCCTTGCTATCTGTCATCAGCATCACAATATAGCTCTTCCTTGCCGTATAGTTTCATATCTAAATATTTTATATGGAAGGAATCTTTAAATAGTAATGTGTGATTTTTAGTCATATTTTATATTGATTGGTTTAAAACATATTTTTAAATGTGCCCAGAGTCGAGTATTCAAATAGGAAAGAGTCAATTTGGATGCTGTTTGCTTAGTCTTTTCCTTTTCCTCTTTGGAAGAGCATACGAAACCAAAGAACTCTGTTGAATTGAACATAGCATTGCCCGTGAAATGTACAGGCAATGAAACCTGTTCCATTTAGACTTTTCTGTTGGATTGTCAAGGATGGTGTGGAATAAATTAGCGTGGTTTTGAAGATATTCAACCTTGTGAATATTGCATTGAAGCATTTCAGAAAAAACTGTCTTAAAATTGTAACAATGAACCAAATATTTATGATGGGGTTGCGTGGGTGACTCCTTACACTGAATGAACACTGATCGTCCTCTTGCAGTTTAGTGGCCTGTGTGAAATGTGTTGGTCACTGACTAGTTCCTAGTGGAGACAAGTGTACATGGCAACGTTTGACACTTTTGAGGTCCTTGAATAAAGGTGTTATAAAAGTCCCTTAATGAACTAAGCCTCAATATTGGCACAGCAGCAGCATTACTCTGTTGGGAGAGTGTCCAGAAAAAGCTGAGCGCACTTTCTGGGGTCTGGTGCACTAGGAATCATGTACTACTGTGGCCCATGCTACATCTATTTTGGGTGTAGAGGACTTTGGGGTAGTTAGTCCAGAACCTTTCACCAGCATTACATACAAATGGTAAAGTATGGGCAGCAATGGACCAAGACTGTGGCCTTTTTATTTGATGCACATTACACACAAGAATATTAAATGGCTTTGGTTGTGGGGGGACAAAAAACTAGTTGCTGTGACACAACTTGTAGCTTCTTAAATCTATTGCATTTTTCTTAGCCTCTTCAACATTGCTGCTCTGAGTTTGAGATATATTAACTGGTGCCCCTTTCCTGTCTCCCTTCCTACCTTCCTCTGTTCCCTTGCAAACAAAAATCTAGCAAATGGAAAGGTGACAATAGCAGCGTTAGTTGCCTGTGCATCAGCCCGGATGGAAAGATGTTACTTTCCGCTGGTCGAACTATCAAACTGTGGGACCTGGAGACCAAAGAAGTCTACAGAGTAAGTGAATTTTTTTTATACTGGATCTAATAAAATCCTTCCCTGATTAAACTGACCTAGTGTGGCTAGTATTTCCTGGTGCAGCATGTCCAAGTTGTGTTGAGTATAAATAAATAATTGTCAGTCCAGGGGCTACTGTAAGTTGCTGCTATGATGATACCTTCAACTGTGGTTTTGACTTGCTGACAGTTGAATGAGGACACTAAATTCCTTGGCTGTGTCTGAGTGTGCTGTCAGTAGCCCCTGTGCAAACCAACTATTAACATAAGCTTCGTATGGCTCCTTTTCATTGCATGCCTTTTTTTGCGTGTTCTCCTAATTCTGACTCTAGAGGCATAAAAATAGACCAAACCAGCTCCTTTCAGATGTGACAATGGACTCTGCCAGCAGCATTCAGCAGAGACCCAGTGCTATTAGACTTCAGACAGCATCTTTCCAATTTTTCAAATCTTAATGTAACCGGCTACATTATTTATCTATTACTTAGCAGGTTGGGAGGCATAATAGCAAACATCCTGTTGTTTGGTACACAGACAAAAACCTGGTCTAAACACATGGAACTTAATTACTTGCTGGTAATCTCCAATTAAAAATAGTAGGTGCATTGACCGACCAGTATACTCAACTGTAGGCTGAAAACGAAAACAGGTCTTCATTTTCTTGTAAGCCCCGTGAGAAGATGAATAGATGGGAAATAACTGGGCGGTAACAGAGGTACCTGTGTAACACTGCTTCATGGGGTAGTCCCACAGGGGACTTTGTAAAATACAGAAGGTTGTTGGGGAAGATGACGTTTTCTCTCTCAATTTTTTTCCCAACCTGAAATTCCACCTATCAGTCTGTCTCTTTTCTTTGTGTAACCTCTTTCATTTCTCTCTCTGATGAATATCATGAGGTTCAAGGCAGCTGGATTCTAGTTCTAACTGAAAACACTGTAGAAACATCTTGACTTATTCTGTAATACTTGGATATGACTTGTGCAGCTTGCATAATCTTTATCACAGCTCGAACATCAAAATTTTACTATGACTACTCCTCACTATCCCATCACAAGTAAAATTTCATTTCCTCTAGAATTTCACAGGCCATGCAACAGCAGTTTCAGCGCTCCTGTTCACCACGGTACGACCTCCGAATGAAAGTCAGCCCTTTGATGGAATTACAGGGCTCTATTTCTTGTCTGGAGCAACACGTGACCGGTTACTCAGTGTATGGTATGTAGGCTTTTCTTGTGAAAAATCTGTTGATACTCAGTTTGAGCATAGACTTTTCACAAAAGTATTAATTGAATTCTGTTGCTCATAGATAAACAGAAGGGTTATTCTGGTTTGATGCGATGATGATTCAACTGTGGTTTCAATTCACTGACAATAAAATGAGGATGTGAATTTCCTTGGCTGTGTCTGAGCATTCTACCTGTAGACCCTACTCAGGACTATAATACATGCTATGAGCATTGTTACATGACTGACTTCTTTGCTCTTAGTGTCTTATTTTTTAAAAAGTGTGTGTTAAACATTCACATTTTCTTTGCACTTGGGGATTGTTTTGTACAAGAATCTTGACTAATTTTTTTTTATTTTTTTAGTAATTTACAGTTTGGGGCTAGAACACTCTTATTTTAAGAAAACTTATGATTGGCATGGTGAGCTTTGAATAGTTAAAACACTTTTTAGTTGAGAAGTCTTTAATCCACATAGAGCTGGGTTGTAGATGGTCACTCTTTAGGGGATTTATAATATTGTGCTCTGCTTCAGTGATGATGCAGAGGGTAACAGAGTAATGAATGTTTTTTCTTACTACACTAAATATTGTGCTGTTTGTGTCTCCAGGCAGATCAGATCAGATAGAAAAGACAAGAATGCTGTGATGTCTTTTACTGTTACAGATGAGCCAATCTTTGTTGACCTAACAATGTCAGAAAGCAAAGAGGAGGTAAGAGAAGTAGTTTGAACTTGTACATTTTGGTTTGAAGTTTTCAGTGCTGATTTCTTGTTAATGTTGGAAGAAAACACTCTGGTGTGTGGTAAGCAAGGATGAGTGTTGAATGTGAATTAATGGGTTTGTTTGAGAACTGGCATTACAGACTAGGGAGTTACAAAGTAACAGCATTCAGACTTCCGTCCCTTAAATGTTTTTCAGCATTCTTGTTAATAATGTGAAAATGTTAACTGACTCTAAAATTGAAACAATTTATTAGCAGTCAGTTACTTGCCACATCTTGTAGCACAAAATAAACATGTTTCTTTCCAAAATACGGTTCAGGTATTGCCATGGTTTTCCTGAAATGAGGAGGCAAGGACAATCCCACTGAATTTTGAATGAACTACAATTTAATATATTGTATCAGATATGCATTCCATAAGTCAGATTTTTAGCACGTTACGATGTTCTGCGGGAAACTTCTACATAAAAGAATCGGGGAATTGAAAGAAATCTTATTCACAGATGACACAGCTGAAGCATGTTCCATAACATATTTCAGTCTCTATTTAAGCTTCTTTCCTACATCCTTCACTTTCCTTCTTAAAATGCACTACGTCAAGCCAGGTTTTCTACTTTTTCATCCATTACTGTAGAGATCTCAGATGGAATATGATATATTATATGTATACCAGTAATTGGCCAAAGAGGCATGTTATGGCTGACTTGCTATCTCGCATCATGTTCTTCTATAGAAACAGCCTCCATGTAGAAATGCTGAAAATCCTGCTTTATTAAACACACTTACCAAACCTATGCCTCTCCACTTGTGCCCAAGCCATTTTAGTAGGACTACCTATATCAGTGGTACTTCAGTAGGTTTAATTTTAAGTTCCTACCATGGTAGCATATGTTAATTTCTCATGAAGTATCAATAACTGGGGGTTTGTTCTGATCTAATAAAGACCATATATTGTGACTTTCTTTCAGCCAGTGAAGTTAGCAGTTGTATGCAGAGATGGACAGTTGCATTTATTTGAACACATCTTAAATGGGTAAGTTGGTATTTTAAAAATTCAAAGTTCTTTATCTTAACCTTGTATTTTAGAAGAACCTGGGGATACTGCAAGGCAGTTTGTAGTCATTTCCAAGTATGGTCCTATTCGGGTCTTAAACTGTTACATCCTGGTCATAAGATAGGACCCAGTCGCGCCTCAGACACGGTGCTTATTTTGCAGAACTTGTGTTCTATAAAGTTGGTATCTTGGATATGGAACTGTGGGATACCGTTATCTAGTGGCTAGATCAGAGGACTGTGAAAATTAGTTTCTTGCATTCTGCACTCAGCTCTGCTGTTGACTGTCACATTAGACAAGTTGCTTAACCTCCTTGTGCTTCACTTAACCCATCTTTAAAATTATAAACTGTTGAGATTGAGTTGATTGGAGAGCTGATAGAAGGTGCTGTAGAAAGGCAAAGTATTCTTGTTTTTAGCTAAATCTGTTTTGATGAAATCATTTCTTTTCAGATACTGCAAAAAGCCCTTAACATCAAATTGTACTATCCAGATAGCAACGTCTGGAAAGGACAGTGACGCCACGCCAAAACCAGTCCCTATTCTAGCAGCTGCATTTTGCTCCAACAAGCAGTCATTACTGCTTGTGTATGGAAACACCTTACAACCCATCATTGAGAGAGTGGTATGTAAAGCCTACTCGATTTGTAACCTAATATTTTGTAAGCATGTAACACAAACTCCCAACTACTCTCTGAATGGAGGAATTTTTAATGTGGACTTGCGTAGCAAGGTAAAGCCACTCTTTCCTGTGGTGTGTCCAGTGCCCTCAGTACAGCTGTCTGAAAGGGAATTTTGATTCTGCTTTCTTTTATTAAATACAATATAGCTAATGTTGGGGGTATTTCCTGCTGTTTCAACAGGCATTGTTGACCATTCCATTGCAGCAACTTTAAAACTGGTGCTAATAAATTAAGCTTCAGTTGAAGGTCCTCCATTACCCGAACATGTTCCCTTGAAAGACATAGGAATCTGGTGACTTGGGGAAAAGCAAAGCAACTGCTTTCCTGAAGTAACCGAAATTTCACTTTACTGATAATGCCTGCTAAGTTATTTCTAACCTGTTGAAGTAGCTTCATGAGTCACAGTGGTGTGTTTAAATTATGTGGACTGTTTCTTTTCTTCCCCTGTGTTAGTCCTTGAACACCACCGAATCTCACATATGCTTGATAAGGGATGTTCAAAAGACCATGGCGCTTCAAACAGAAATGTCTGTAACAAAGGTGAGTGTTGTTTGAAACATCATCCTAGTCCCTGTTCCGGTTTTATATTTATCAATACTAAACCTTCCATTTTAGCAGAGAAGATAGGATTCTACACTGAAAAAAGAACAGGAGTACTTGTGGCACCTTAGAGACTAACAAATTTATTTCAGCATAAGCTTTTGTGGGCTACAGCTCACTCTGAGGAGAAGTTCAGTAACAAATGCATCTCATTGGCTTTTACTAGTCCTAGCACACAGTGCTTAGATGGAGATAGGTATTGCAGACTAGGACTACTACTGCCTTCATCTCTATGCTCAAGATTAGGCATCTCCAATTTTTGCTAGTTGGGGCAGATCCTTGGGTCATGAGAAGTTGCCTTTGCAGCCCTCAGTTGGGCAGTGTTTGGGTGTTCTTGTTTTAGTATTTCTGTAAAATTAATCCTGCCTTTTTTGTAGATTCTTAAATCAGGTGTCCTGTCTTTTCTGTGAGGTGGCCTTCATATGTTCCAATTCCCAGGGATACAGCACCTGGGAGTGTGAACTTGAAATCTTACACAGCAACGTCTGTTGAGACCATTTTTCACCTCTAGCCCATGTGCAGGATTCACAGGGTATTAAAAGGGGAGGGAACCTTGAAGATACTTATCAGTAAGTGGCTTTTGGTGAAGGGTGTTGTTACTGTATAATTCCTGCCCCCACCTTTGGAACTTGGAGTCTCAGCTTTCTTCAGGTTAAGAATTTCTGAATTATTGGAAAGAACAAAAAGGCAGTTGAGGCTGCTCCCCCTTTTGTACCCTGGGAACCCTGTATTATGGTATGAGTTGGCCCAGTGGACACTCTGCTCAGAAGATTCCTGGCTTGTAGACTCAGTGCACTTATCCCACAAGTGTAAATGTATAGAGGTGGCATTTTCTCAAACTACACTTACTGATAACTCGGAGTTGAAACACCGAGAATCTGTGGCACACTTAATTTTATTGTATGAGTTGGCTTATTGGGTTTTGGACTACTGCTACATCTCTGGGTTTCTGTGAGCCAGATGTGGGCTTGTGTTCTTTTGTAGTCATGAAGCCAATGATAGACGCACCAAACTGAAAGCTATAGGGAATCTTGGGCTTGCTGTGATGACCTTCGTCTTGGTTTCGCTTATTGCTGAATTCCATGAAGACACGTTTCTCTTGGCTGTCTGAGCATGCCTTCTGGAGAAGAGTTCCATGTGTCATGCACTTGGCACTTCCCTACGAATATCTGTAGCTAGAGAAGGTTTCAAAACCACATCTGCTGTACTGTAACAACCTGAAACTGGAGTATCTCATTTTGCCTACTATATCTAAACCTTACTAGAAGTGAGGTGATAGATGGAGTTTGCTACAGTTATTATAGTAGTCTGTATTGGTATACTGACAGCCAGTGCTACTGCTTATTGGGAACCTATCCTATCTCAAAGCAAGAAGGATTAGGTCGGGTCAGTGCTTGAATGGATGACCTCTAAGTAAACAGGTGTCTGCAATAGGTGATTATTGGAATTCTGTATGTGTCACGTGTCCCTGCATCCGCACTGATCCAGAATGATTACTGTGCTGCTGGATGTGCTGACTTTCAGTTGAGACTTACAACTCAACTTCCTTGTGTTCATTAAAGATCCCGTGGCGTTTCTTTGTGTGATAAAGGGTTGCTTATTCAAGCATCCTGGCCTGATTTAATTCAGATACTTGTATTCTACCTCCCTAAATGAGAACCACTGCTCTAGGATGCAAACTTCCTTGATTGCACCCCCCCTTCTTTTTGTCTGTTGTAATTTATGCCCTCTCTCCTGCCGCACAAGTACATATACAGTAACTCCTCGCTTAATGTTATAGTTGTGTTCCTGAAAAATGCTACTTTAAGCGAAACGATGTTAAGCGAATCCAGTTTCCCCATAATTAATGTAAAGGGGGAGAGGGGGTAGGTTCCAGGGAATTTTTTTCGCCAGACAAAAGACACAGACACAGTATAAGTTTTTTTTTTTTTAAACAATTTAATACTGTACACAGCAATGATGATTGTGAAGCTTGGTTGAGGTGGTGAAGTCAGAGGGTGGGATATTTCCCAGGGAATGCCTTGCTGCTAAATGATGAACTAGCACTCGGCTGAGCCCTGAAGGGTTAACACGTTGTTAATGTAGCCTCACACTCTACAAGGCACTACGAATGAAGGGAGGAGACACAATAGACGCATGGCAGTGGCTGCAAACATTCCCTGCGGAAACTGAACGTAATAATGAACCCACACTATCTCACTGGAGCGCACCACTTCCTCCACTTTCCAAAGTGCTGGGGGGTGCATGTGTGTGTGACAGAGAGATGTCATGTGTGAGAGAGAGCATTGCCCATTTAAGTATGCTGAAGTACACTGCCTTTTTAAGTAGATCAGCAAGTTGAGACAGCAGCTGCTGCCAGCAAGCTCCCTTCATCCTGGTCCTGAGCTCTGTCATGTCCCCACCCTGCTCTGTGGAGATGGGGTACAGGAGCGGGGTGGGGCACCCTGACATCAGCACCCCTCTTCCTCCCTACCCCCTGCACAGCATTCAGGAGGCTCCTGGGAGCAGCTCCAAGGCAGAGGGCAGGAACAGCACAGGGCAGTGTGGGGAGGAACATCTGAACTGCCTAACAATTGACAGCCTGCTGGGCGGCTGCTGCACAAGGAACTTAAGGGAGCTGATGGGGGGTACTGCCAACCAACCCTGGTTCTAAGCCCCCACCAGCTAGCTCCAACGGGCTGCTCTTCCCGCAAGCAGTGGACAAAGCAGGTGGCCGCCAAACAATGTTATAAGGGAGCATTGCACAACCTTAAACAAGCATGTTCTCTAATAGATCAGCAATGTAACAATGTTGCCCCACTTAACGTTCTTTCGTTAAGTGAGGAATTGCTGTACCAATAAAAATAAATCAACATGCAACTCTCATTAAATATTAAAAACAGTAAGTCATTGATTCAAACAGAGCCAACGATCTATTGTAAAGAGAGCAAAAGAAACTGCGACTGTGGTCGATGCTTACAATTAAATGTGCACACCACATCGTAGCAAATGTATTAACGTACAGATGGCAACCACTTTGTATAATGCTGTGCAACTTAACAGAAACCCATCAAAATGCACACCGCCATCTAGAGACAAATGCACAGTGCCATCTGAGGACCCGATGTGTCCGGAGGAATCAGTTTTGCTAATTATTAATTGCTGTTGGTAAAATGTGTGTAGGAAGTTTTTAATTTTTTCCCCCTCCTTCCCCCCTGAAAACATGTACCTCCCCAAGAGGTCTTGCCCCCCGTTGGAGAACCTCTGCCCCAGAGATCCACTAATTGCCCTAAACTATTGTATGGTGCTGCTATTAAATGGTTGCTGTCTTTCAGTGGTAGATAGGGTGATCCCTGTTTGAAGGTGTTAGATTTTCTATACTTACTATATATATTTCCAGCAAAGACTCAAGTGTTTCTGTTAAGTGTAATTAGGAAACACTTCCTCTAGTTGAACACCCTGGAAAATAAATAAATGATTCTCACTCGGTGTATAATTAGCCCAGTTACAAATATTAATTGAGTTAGTTCAGCAAATGGTCCACTGGGATCAACCTTAAACTTCCTTATAGACTTTCTTGTCTTACTACCGGACATGGATTCTGAGAGGAGATATTAACACGTGGCAGGGAATGATTTTACCATGTGTATGGGTCTGAAAAAATAAACCAGTGTTTTGGACTACAGAAAACACACCTGAACATGTTTCCTATTTGTGTGTGGATGTCTCTTTGTCACTAGGTAAAAACGCCTGTTGTGAACAAAGAAGCCAAAGTTTTAGTGCCTGGAATTCCTGGACATAGTGCAACCATCAAATCTCAGTCCTCTGGAATGCAGAAAATGGAAAGCAAAAGAAAACCTGGAGACAAAGAGGTAATCAAAGTGCTCTTACCAAACAGTAATAAGCATGCCAGATTGGACTGTGTTTCCCTTTTTGGCCAAAATAATCACCCAGAGCTAACTGTTATTCTATCACTTGATGTGAATGAGCTTCATCTGGGATGAGCTCCCCTGCAGCTGTGAATGATGGCAGTCTTGCATCCAAGTCCTACACGTTGCCCACAAATCTACCATGTTGTTGAAGAACGTTGTATTCTTGCCTTCTCTCTGCTAGAGCATGTTGCTGGGCTTTGAACCCCTACATCTCCACCCAGATGCCATATTCCCCTTCTCCAGCTCTGCTTGCTCCTTCCTTCCTGAATGTCTCTGCCATGTCATGAGAGATGAGAACTTGTCCTGCCTAAAAAATATAGCAAGATAGGACTTGACATTGAGAACTGTTGCAGAGGGCTCAATGCTCTGCTTCAGCTGGTGGCTCAAAAAACACCTCTGAGAAAACATAATTGATGGAGTCCGAGCCTTATGTATTTGGTTGCAAGTTGGTTTAAGTGTCACTGCTCATATTTATTTCTTCTGCAGGATAGCATTGAAGACCGTCTTGGTGCAATGGATATTGATACTGTGAAAATAAAAACAAAAGGTGGCCTTCCACAAACTGACAGCTTTGCGGTGCTTTTGGTTCAGGGCTTGGAAAGCAATGATCCTAATATCTTAAATGTAAGTGTTATAAGAGCACCACGTGATGCTCAAGTTATTCTGCTTAGACTTGTGAAGTGGCTTCTTGTGCATACTAGGCTGTATGACTAGTGTTAAATTTGCCACTTGCGCTCCGCTGCTTTTTGCATTATCCCACTGCCTTGCAGCATAGAAACAGTAGTGCCATTATGTTTACCTGTCATATACATTGTTTTAAGTGATGACATTTGCTATATTTTTTTCTATTTGATCTGCTTTGCAAGATGTCTTCTGGATTTCCCCTCTTCTCCCCCCCCCACCCCCTCCCAACTGAACCCCTGGATTTCAAAGCTAGTCGGTTTGTGTTATACAAGATAGAAATGTAGGACTGGAAGGGACTTCGAAAGGTCTTCATCTCCCATTGAGGCAAGCCCACATACAGTATATCTAGACCATCCCCAGCAGTTGTTTGTCTAAATTATACTTAAAGACCTTCAGTGATGGGTATTCCACAGCCTCTCTAGGTAACATGTTTCAGTACTTAACTATCCTTATAGTTAGAAAGTTTTTCCTAATATGTAACTTAAATTTCCCTTGCTGCAGATTAAGCTGATTGAGTGTTTCTTGTTCTACCTTCGATGAACATGGAGAACAATTGATCACCATTCTCTTTGTAACATATTTGAAGACTGTTATCAGGTCCCCATCAGTCTTCTTTTCTCAAAACTAAACATAACCTTTCCTCACAGGTCAGGTTAAAAATAGTTATCTAACCATATAAATTCTATAGTGTCACAGTTCACCTGTTCTTCCATTAATATTAATAATGTGTCACTTTTTCCTTTGGGGTTTGATTAGAGCATGGTTTCTACTTAGACCTGACTTGAGATCTGAGTGGATATGCTTTGGATAAATAAGTATTGGAGGGCCCACAAGTCAGTTGCTGTTGGGTGTGTGTAGGAATAGGAGTGTTAAATTTAAGAGAAACTTGGTGCTACATTGGGAGTCCTGAATCTGAAGTCCTTTATCCACAGGACTGGTGGAACACCGACAGTAGCAAGGAAAACTTCCTTGCCTCCTCCAGCATGCCTCAATCTTAACATGGAGTGGCTACATGATGGATAAAATGAAGTTGTGTCCATGACCCAATCATTCCAGTATTTTTTCATGAGCACTATATTTACTGAAAAAACACCTCTTCTGTAATGTGCAAACATGCTAGCAGCTTTTTTTGCATATCACTCAAAGAACTTGCTTGTCTCTTTAGAAAGTGCCCATTAATGATGACTCCGTGCTCATCTTCTCTCTGGCACACATGTCCTCAGACTTTACATACAAGGTTGAGATGTGAGCATCAGAGATTCAAACCTCATCTTTTTCTGTCTCCCGTTGTTCTGTGCCCTGTAGATATGTCCTTGGTGTCCTTGATTGTATACATATGTATTTATTGATCAATGTTTCTCTGATCTCATATTTTCCCCCTCGTTTCACAGAAAGTGCTTCAAACAAGGAAGGACGCTTTAATAAAGAACACAATAACTAAGATACCTGTACATGCTGTCATTCCATTGCTGCATGAGGTAGGAGAATTACTGCTATAGAACTTCCACTGTTGTAGAACAAGTTAACACTGGGCTTTTCCTCTTACTTGGGAAGTCCAAATATACACCTGCTTTTACTCCATAGAATCGGTGTGGAGGTCATCCAGTATTGAAGCAGTTTTTGTCTTGACTCTGACAATTGTCTTCTGAGGCAAACATATGGAAACCATGTCATTCCCAGAGTTGGGTGTATCCTCCTGGTTGTGTTAATGAGATATTAACCTCATACTGGCGTGGGCACTTATCAGAGGCCAGCTTTGACGATTCTGACTTGTCACTGAAACGTTTAATTCAGGAGAGCTGAGTCAGGTTCTGTTACTCTGAAACCATGCAAAATAACTGCACATTCAGTGGACTTGTCTCACTGTCAATCCTACTAGGGATTAACTCTGGTGTTTTTTTCACAATAAAAACTGGGAAGATGGTTTTGTGAAGACACTGGCCTAGGACTCAGGAGATCAGAGTTCAGTTCCTGGTTGTGCTATCTCCTTCTTCTGTGATTTCCTTTGAGACTATGGGTGACTTAATGAATATCTGCTCCTCAGATCCTCATGTATAAAATGGGGATAATTATCCTACCTGAGGGTGGTGTGAGAATAACTCCATTCATACTTAGAGGCACTCAGCAATACTACAGTGATGGGGACCCTATACATACTTAGTTGGCATGGTAGCAACAGTGTTGCATTGAACTTCCAGTTGAGGGTGAAAATTTTGTTTACAGTGCTAAAGTCCCATTGTCAGAAGTGATTTAGGAGCCCAAGTCCCATTGACTTCCAATGATACTTGGGTTCCTAAGTACCTTGAGTCACTTTTGAAAATTGGTTTTGAGCCTAAGTCACTTAAGCATTGTTACCTTTTTTAAATCTTAATTCTCTACATGTATTCAACTAGGTTTGAAAAAACCCCACCACTTGTATTTGGACTGAAACATCTCGTGTAGCTTTACCCAGAAGTGGATTTCTCTTTTGAACTGATAACCCATTCAGACACTTGAGTTACCTGAATGTGAAATAAGTCCATTTCCTTTAAAATTAAGGCATGTTGTCTACTTTTTAATACAAATGGCTTTGGCTTGATGGTAACCCTGAATGAGAAATGCTGACTCTGCCTTGTTTTGAATGTTAAACTTGCACCAAGCATACACGCTGATCCACTGATTCTAAGTAGGTACTGAGATTCAATGTTTCTAATATAGACCCCTCTTTATTTGAGTGATCACACTTTCCGCCATGTGCGAGTGCATTTGACTGTGTTAATCGGGGAGAGGAAAAGACCTTCACTTGACAAGTATATCCTTTCCAGTGCTTGAAACATTTTACTTGGTGCTCAGCGCCCTTTTCCTGCAATAGTAGCTTGTCTTATCAACGTATCACCTGTGCAGCAGGTGCTGTAATAGATATTACATCTAGTGAGATTTTGCATGCACAGCCACAGAGGGATTCAGTTCTGGTCCTTGCTGCCATCTATGACCTGGTTTCCATGTGCACTTGTAACATATCGTTTGACTCGTATTAGCTTCAGTACTATTACTGTAATGAAGCTCTGCTTCCCCAAAAGCAGTCAGTGCACTGAACAAGGACATAGTGCAACCAACATGCGCTTCACAGTGTACGTCTTATTTAGCACTGGTGATTTCTAGCAGACTTTAAATATCTGAGGATTTTTGTGCCCTGATTTCTGGGCTGATATACAGATGTAATGTCAGGATGAGAACTGTCATGTATACAATACTTCTAAGTGACCTCATCTTTCTTTCTTCAGATTACAAAGAGGTTGCAAGGCCACCCGTACAGGTAAGAGAAATGATTCACAAGGAAGCTTAGCTGACTTTTAAAGGAATGGTGCCTTTTCATTTGTTTGGAGGAGGCCCATGGTAGTGGTTATAAAACTATAGCCTCATGAAAGGAAATATCTGACTTGACTGATGGAGGTTCCAGCTGTTTGGGGGCGTTTCTGTCTGAATTCAGTCTGTTTGAGAAATCATTGCATACATCAAAATGTAAGAGAAATGGAAAAGGACGTCTGAGTCTGGAAACAATATTCCCTTAACTCTTTACCCACTGGACTTCTTGTCGCCCATATCAGCTGTTTATAATTAAAACAAAATAGTTAAACTCACAGCCAGCAGCTAAAACCTACAAGTATCCGTATACAAATAAAGCAGTAGAGTTGAGGACAAATATCCAAAAACTTGTTAATAGAGGAGGGCAGGGAAATGAAGAAACTGCATATGTCCATTTTGTGATATTGCATATAAATAATAATTCTGTTATCACACATAAACAGAACTTCAATAGGTGCCTTAATTGCCCTAGAGAGAAATGGCTAACACTTAAGCATTCTTTTCATATTTTTGTTAAAGAAACAAAATATGCGATAAATGCAGTGAGATTTTTGAATGAATATAATACAGAGTAGTACTTCTGAATAAACTTTATACTGGAATTTTTTTGATTGTGCACTTTTATTGTGTTAATAGAAGACATTTTGCTCAGTGGAGGGCTTCTAAAATCTCAGTTAAATTGACCAAAAATCTTTGTTAACCCAGTGCCCTTTTAATGTTTCAGAAACTCAGTTAAAATCCTTAAATGAATAGGTCAGCCATTAAGAAAGTGTGTGTGTGTGTGTGTGTGTTAGTGATATATAATGAAACCGCTCTTAATAGTTGGGTTAAACAAGTTGCAGTTAGAACATACTTGTTCATTGCCTTTCCCAAATCAGAACGTTACTTATGACCTGGAGTGGGGGCGGGAAGGGTGGCAGAAGTTTGTGTGGCGGGGTCAAGTGATCTCAGATATATTTGTATAGCTGTCAATATTGGGAATTAATATGTATGGTTTACAAAGATAAATACCACAAAGGATAATCTAATCTGAATTGAATATTAACCCATAAATCACAAAATAGTAAAACTTGTTCATATTGAGAAAAGAATTGTTAAATAGCTACTAGATTAGTCATCTCAGCACTGTGTAGAACCTGTTCTATCAGTACTGGGACCGTTTTAGGACTCCCAAAGCTATCTACTCTGCTCTTATGTTGGGAGGCAAAGTTTACTCCATAATTTGAAGGGAAAAAGAAAAAATGCTTTAGATCTTTGATCAATCTAAACTTGTCAGGGAAGATATTGGAAGCAACAACTAAGAGCAAATTTAGTATAACTCAGACACTTAAATTACTATTCCAGTTCTAATGGAACTGTTTAAGTCTCATATCTGTGTAGATGAATTGTTCTTATTTCTAGCTTGGCTTCTCTTTTCTAAAACAAAACGCTGACGCATTTTGATTTAAACCTTTTTAGTGGTCAAAACAGAAGGTGTTCTCTTGGCTACACTCATCTTTGATTTATTCTGCTCTTCTCTCCTCCAGTGCCTCACAGATGGTCCGGTGGCTAAAGTCTGTTTTCACTATACATGCATCCTACCTTTCCACAGTAAGTATCTTGCTCTACGGTTGATACTTGCAGCTAACTAAAATGTACCTCTGTTCTTGTTTTGCTATTGCTCTTCCATTAAAAGTCAACCCTCTTAACATCTTAATCTGCTGCTACTACTGTCTAAATGAACCTCCCCCAAAAGGATGTTTCATGTCATTTGCAACACTTTTTTTGCCACAACATGCTATAAATTACCTGGTAGCTGGCATTATCCAGTACAGCCATTAGCACTAAATCAAACTGATTAGCATGCCTCTATTAGTTATGGACCTATACACAGAGCTGGCTTAATAGATGATGATCTAGCCTTGTTGGGTGAACTTCCTAAACAGAAATTGCCCAAGTACTTTCTTACTGCAGACTGACCTGAGACTATCTTGAGTGCAGCTAGCTTTACTGCATACAAGTATGCTGGAAATGGAGTATTAGCTGGGTGTCATGGATAAGCTAATGCAGGAACATTTAGCCTCTTGGCTTCTGGCTTCAAAGCCTACCACAAGTGAAGGATGAATTTAGGCTTGACCTAGTGATAGAAACCACTAGTTTGGCACAATCGGTCTTCTGTTCCAGAAAGGTCCAGGTCTACAGTGTGGGAGTTTGTGGGTTAGGATTGATGTGCATTGACATTCCCAGACTCTCAGCTGATACTTGTGCAGTTCCCGTTCGTACTAGCCCTTCCCATTAGTTCTCTTAATGCTGTAAACCACAATCAAGTGAAGAAGGAAAATTAGATCTGCATGAGCTGAAAGTGGATGAGAGCCTAGACAAGCATTGGTTTAACAGACTGCTTGAAGTAATAATCATTCATACATAGTGAAATCTCAGCTCTCATTTTGTCTGAGAGGCAGTGTGAGCAAGGACTCCGTAGGCAGCACCTAAAATGCAGTTTAGAATCTTCTTATGAAGTGGAGGAGAACAACAAAACAGCCTCATTCTTATGCTTTTTCTCTCTAAAGTTGCCAGACCTGGTTCCCCAGCTTGGTATGCTATATCAGTTAATGGAGAGCAGAGTAAAAACATTGCAGAAGCTCTCTCGCCTCCATGGAAAACTCTATCTTATCATCACCCAGGTAAGTTCAAGCTATAAACATTGGGGTATAAGATGGAAATGTTGTTGGAAATAGTGGTTGTTTTCAAATTTGATGCGACCAAACCTGCCATCCACAGCTCAGTACAGTTGCTGGATAGTCACACTGATAATGCTGAAGGCAGCACAGTTGATTAACGAGCATCTTGCTACTGACCATATTTTTCTAAACTGACTTAATATTACTTAATTGGGGATGTGTTTTCATTGAAGGTTCAGTCACATTTTTCCTTCTGATTTATATGCTGATCCTCAAGATTTTTAGACTGGAAATAAGCAGGAGAATTTTAAACCACTTAAGATGTGTCTCTCTTCTCTTTAGTATTATAACTTTTCTGCCCATCCTAAATACTCAGCTGTTTTAAAACTATAGATATGGATGGAAGAATAAAATCCAGGCTTGATGGAGATTTCACTTAAATTGTGATGAGTTTTGTAAACACTTGGTAGGTTTTAAGGTTGGATTACATGACTGCAGTTTATTGTGATTTGTAAATCTCTTCCAGGTTGCAGCACTGGAAAAAATTCAGGATGCAACTGATATTAATCAGACTGCAAAACTAGTGTATGAGGAAGGTAAGAAGACTTCCTGTGGGGTTACCTTGAGAACAGATCGAACCATTGTACAGTTGGTGTAGCTCAGCTCCTTTACTAAGGTTACAGCTAAAGTTTGCCAGCCATCCACATTCCAATTCTGTGCCTCTCGCTGTGTGATCTACCATGGAGGTTTTGCTTGAAGACAGTGGAGGGGAGAAGGTGGTATGGAGTTGTCAAGTAGCTTTTTGGTTGGTTGGATTTTTTCCTCTCCAGTTATGAAAACCCTGGTGGTAACTGCAAGTCCAACATACTGCTTAACTCTAGTGCCAGGAATCCAGATTTGTTGGCCCAGGTCTCTATGCAGAATGCACCTTTCCTGAAGATGAATCACTAGAAGGTGCTTCCATATCTGTCCAGAATCAAGAGGATTTAAAATATCTGTAGACCTGAGGTTTGGGTCTTATGTCAACTCTGAAATATTGTGCATAGGATGATGATTGAGCAACAGTGCTTGATTTATACTGATCAAAATAACTGAACGTTCAGTTTTGGTAGATGTTTTAAATGGCACAGCTAGTTAATATATGTAATGGCACATGATCTTGGATTTCATTTGAGTAAAGACTGCATCAAATCTGTTGTGTACTCCTGACTTATGTAGCATTTTCCATTTACAGAATCCTCCGAGGATGGTTCTGAAGATGAGATGATTGCAGATAAAGATTCGGATGTAAGTAAAATTCTTTGTCCAGGACTTCTGTCCTTCACTTGACTGATCGCAGGAGTATAGGATTGCAGAAATGCTTGTACCAAATATTAAGCTGTTCCTGTCTTTTTTTTTGTTTGTTCGTTCCAGGAGAACTGGGATGAAGATGAAGAGAAAGGGGAGCAATCAGATGAAGAGAAAGGGGAGCAATCAGATGAAGAGAAAGGGGAGCAATCAGATGAACAAGAAATGGCGGCTGAAAAAGAAATCAATGGGGAATCTGATTTGGACCCAGAAAATGAAAGTGAAGAAGAATAACAGATGGTTTTAAACAAAAATGAAACACCTATTAAAAGAAGTGGGCTGCCAGAACTCTAAAATTCTGATCGCCTTGCTGAAAGTTGCTGTAGTCACATAGCCAGGCAAGAGTCTGCACTCCCCATGTGCAGAGGCACTTCTGGGCACTGTGCATTCCTGAATCCAGAATGTTTAACCATGCCAGCCTTCTCTTGTCCCATATCCCTGAGCTTATATATAAATTTTTTGCCATCTCATGGTCATATTACGCCCGTCTCATGGACAAGCATATTTGTATTCAAGTGAAATAAACTTGCCACCGCCATTTGTGTGGTAAACTTGTTGCAGCTTTACATTGAATTTGTTTAAAATATAACAGATCAAAGATCAGACTATACCTTCTCTTCTCGCTTCAGTTAGCGATAGCAAGTGGGCATCCTGCTGCATTTTTTCAAAAAAATAAAATAAAAATAAAAAATATTTTTGTAATATTTAAATTCACTATTGAATTTCTTCATTTTCTCCTCATAGGTTCACCCATGCCTTGGCAATGTCTGAATGCCAACCTGGTTTCAAACAGCTTTTTCTTTTTTAAATAAAATTGGACTCGACTTTTATATGTATGTATAAATCTATGGCTTTTTTTGTGCTTCAGAAGGACATTAGAACTATCAGTGGTTTCTAATTTGTTTTAATTGATCCTGTATATAAGTTTAATGCTGACCCGGGAAGAGACTTCATCTTGAGGGGGAGGGGGAATGGAAAAAAATTAGGGGAGAGGGAGGGTGAATGCTTGTGAATATGTAACGCAAAGTGTATACGTTTATTACTGATTTTTAATCTCTCAGTGGCAGAACAAGGATTGCTATTTGCTCAGCTAATGGAAGCTGAAGTGGTATAAACACATTTTTAAGAGCAAGATATGGTAAAGGTTTGAGCCATTCACCAATATAATGTACAGTATATTTGTCTATAAATGGAGCTGTTGCAACTAAATACTGCCCTCTTTGTAAAGTGAATAAATATACATCTCCTTTACCAAGTACTTGTTCTGTAATATATGTGTGGATAGAAGAGGTTGTGTGCTTGAGGGAGTTGTCTCATAAGCAGGTATCCAGGGGAAAATGCTGACCATGTTCTGGGCTTGAAGCACATCCAGTGGTAACTCAGATTCTCAGCTCCCTATGTCTTTAGCTGTATCTGCTGACTTCACCGACACAAACAAGCATTCACTACATTTGACTTCCAGGTGCTCTGAGGGAGAGCAAGTTGGATTCTCTCGTGTTCTGCATGGCATTGTCCGCCAAGTTCACTTCAAAATCTTATAGGTGAAGGTGGAAGGCAGGAGAAGCATGGCTTGGTTTGTCCCAATCCTAGGTGATGTTTCAAAGTGTCAATTGGAAAAAATCTCCTTGGTAGCATAAACTAGGCGCACATTAAACCTGTGCCATGGAGAGAAGGTAAATACAGAAGCCCTGAGGCCTTGCCTGCACACATTCAGTTACCAAACTAAGCTAAATTGATATGACCATTGTTAAACAATGTGTGTTCCCATGGAGAGGTCTGTGCCAGTTTAAATCAATTTAAAACAGATTTTAGTGATACCATTGCAACTTTTGAGTGTTGGCAAATCCAAACTCAGAAAATCCAGTCCCATTTCGGAGCATATTGGCACTTTTACTGTTAGCTTTTCTTCATATCTGTTACATTGAATGAGCAGTTTGTATTTAAAGCAAAAAAGGTAGCAGAATGCTTATGGAGAGACCCTTCCAAGAGTGGTGCATGCTTAATACATGAAAACTGCCCACAGGTGGCTTTTAAAAACTAAATGTGAAGTCTCTCCCTCCCTTCCTTTCCTACCCTCAATAGTGGGACCATTTCATTATGGCTGCTGTTTGTGGTGGTGGCAGTAACTCAGGTGATAATGTTCTGCCAACTGAGAAACTTGACTGGCTAAGTGATCGTATCTGATTTATGCTCTTTGTGTAATATGGGATTCTGAATGTATGAACCCCGTCCAGGCTCTTAGGAACTGAATGTGCTCCCATAACTTACAGGAAAGGTAATTTTCCTGAGGTGTACTGTTATGTCTCAGATTGGACCTATGACATTGATATCATAGGAGTTCACTCTTAATGAGTTCATTGGCTGGGTGCCTTCACTAGCACCACATATTTAAACTTTGCAAAGTTGGATTGCACGTAATTGCTTTTTCTGCATTGTGATATGTCTCTGGTTTTGCTCTTGCTTGTGTAGTTTTAGGGACCCCCTGTGAGTCCTGAGTTTGATACAGGGATAGGAAAATGCTTTTCTGCAGCTATAATTTTTGGATGAGTGCCAAAAAAAATTTGCTTGTCCAAATAGTTAAAGGGATAATACCTTGTGATCTGCCACAGCTAGAAACAAAGGCTGTAAACCAGAGATTCTCAACCTGTGGGGGGACACAAATCCAGAGGCATGACCATCCCTTTCTAGGTGGAAGGAGGGTCCTGAACAGAAAGGGTTTCTGGTATGGAAAAGGTTGAGAACCACTGCTGTAAACAACTGTAAAAGTAAGGCCTGGTCTACACTGGAAAAGATTAACTGCTATATCTATGCCTGCAAACCCTCTAGTGTAGACACAGTTATACTGATACGAGAGTGTTTGTTTTTGGCAGTGTAGGTTATACTGGTTCAGGGAACAAAATAAGCTATACCGCCAAAACACTTTTATGCCAGTACAACCATCTACACTAGAGAGCTTTACTGCTATAGCTATTTACTTAGATATAAAAATAAACACTTTACATAATTAATATACAATAAATATAATTAAATTAAACCTCAGCAGCATTTAAATCAGTTCTGCAGGGATTCCACCACCCATCCATCTACCCACTTCAGCCTCTATGAAGTGCACCCTGAGCATTCTTCAGAGACTCGGTCAAAGAGATGTCTTTGGCAGTCTACCCAGAAAATCTCCAGTTTTGGCTATTATGGACCAACCTGTGTCCTAAAAAATCATATCCTTAACTGACATAGCTATGCTGGCAAAAAAACAAACCAAATCAGAACAAAACACTTTCTAGTGTAGACCTGTCCTATGGTTTCAAGCTTTCCTGAAACACACAACTAATGCTTCGCATTTCTCGAACACCCACCATTTGAGGATCTCAGTGCGTTACAAACATTCATTAAGCGTCATATTCTGACAGGTTGTACTGTCCACCATAAAAAACTGAGGAAACCGAGGTGCACAAAGTGGTTTTAAGTGACTGCCCCAGATTTGCCATGACTGGGCAAGGCACTAGAATAGAGCCTAGACTTTCTGATTCCCTGTTTCAACCACCAATAATACTTAGCTCTTATACATTATTCTTCATCAGTACATCTCAAAGTGCTTTACAAAGGAGATCAGGTCTCATTGGGGAAACTGAGGCACGGAAGTGAAGTGACTTGCCCATGGTCACCCAGCATACTAGTGGCAGAGCCTTAAATAGATGCCAGGGGGGCTGAATCCCATTCCAGGGCTCTATCCTCTAGGATACATTACGTAAAAAAAAAAACTAATTGATTTCTATAATGCTAAAATTGAAGTTGTGGAGAGTATGGGACTAATCCGAATAGCCTGACTTTCAAAATGCAAGGGTCACCTAACTTGTATTTGGGATTACTGACTTCAGCAGTAAAAAGCATAGAGCCTGCACCTGCTTTTGTTTTCAGATGTGAAAAGGTCCTCTTTCAGCATGACCCACCTGGCATCCAGAACAAAGAGCAGCTCATATTACAAAAGTCACTACTTGTATCTGCCTCAAAAGCCTAAGACTCTTGTTTTTCTGGTGAACTTGTAAACTGTTCCTGTTTCTGGAGGAGGAGCTATGACATTCTGGTGAAGGGGTGGGGGAAATATCAGACTGAATGTATCCACCTGACTCGGATCTCCCCACTTGCTGTTGCTGCAGTGTCTGAACTTCTATTCCCTCCCTAGTGCTGGTATTAATTTTGTTTTGGTGTGAAGGGGGGTCAGATCAAATGCTAATTCTAAAATAGGTCTTATCTGAATGGGGGATTTGGCTGACAGTTTGTGCAAGTATCTGATAGAAGTGCCAAGATGAGGGCTTGCTAGAGGGTCGGACACTTCATAGCTTGTGTAAGCTGTTTACTGCACACACCAGGGGTTCCTTGCATCCCTCCACTTTCCCTCCCCTACTCCACAAGCTCCTTGTGTGCCACCTTCCCATCCGCCTCTCTTTCAGGGACTCCCTTCAATTCCCTCCCAATCTCTTCCCTCCCAGGGTCTCCTTGTGCTCATTCTCCCATACCATCAGCTTTGTGTGCACCCCCATCCTCTGCATGATCTTTGAATGCTGTAACAGTCAGTACCAAAGGTGGCCAGTAGGTGTCAAAATTGCTCTATGAAAACATCCTGGGTTAGGAGGGCACAAAGATATGAAGGGAGTTGATGAACTTCAGGCTGGCTTAACCCCGCTGCTGCTGACGCGTGCTGTTGGGCAGTGTGGCTCTGCAATTCATGTCGGCTGTCATGGCTGTGCTTACGCTTAGTTTTGCCAGGTATGCAAATCTCCGTGTGTGTGATTTCTTCCGCTGTGTGCTGCCAGGCCTTTCAAATGCTTTCTGACCTTGTAAAGCTCTGCTGGGGAAATACTTCTTAAGCAGGCCTCTCTCTGATTACAGTCTGCAGTTGCTGTCCTGCCGCTCTCTAAGGACATAGCATAGCTGGGAGTATTGAAGCTTCATTCTCAGACCCCCTTGCATTCTGTGACGTGACAGATTGAGATTTTTTTTTTTTTATAAAGCTTTTCAGTTCACCTTTAAATTTCCCTGTTCAGGGCTTATTCATCCAACATTAAACACAAAAACCTGAAATTGTTAGGAGAATATGCAGATAAAAGATGGGAGAGGAAAAAAATGTGTGATGGGGCGTCAGGGAAGGGGAGAGCAGAAGTGGAGTGGGAAAGGTTTGGGAGACGTGTCTGTACACATGCTTGTTAGCTTTGGAAAAAAAATAGTGTAGCAAATCTATTATTGCTGTTTTCAGTAAAATGTTTGAAAACTGAATATGAAAAATGTTGAGGTCCGGCGTGTGCACCAGCACCTGAGCTCTAGGTTGGGCTGGGGGAATGCTGGCATTGTGCAATCTCAATCTTTTTGCCTTCATTTCTTTAATTACATTTTCCCTGGGATAGCACAGTTTTGTGAAGTCAGAGAAAACTGCTCTCCTTGTCTCTGCACAGTTCTATGTTGGTGTTGGGTTATGCATACTGACTAATCTATAGGCGATGTGTTGATTTCCCTATTCTCTAGGAGCAATGGGAAGGAAGGGGGCAGAGAGAGAGACTTTCATAATTAATGTTCTAGCTTGCCCATGTGAGCTTGGAGAAACTATGCAGAAGACCTGTATCAGTGGCTCGAAAGCTGCCTGGTTGACTTGGAGATTCTCTTTTCATTGTTGTGTGTAACAGATAAGCATTTTATGAATCAACGTGCAGTGGGTGTGTTGTGAATCTTCAGTATTCAATCTGGTTCATAGTGTTGGCAGGGAAATTTCTTCCTATCACCCCAGTCAGCCAAATAGGGCAATAACTGCCTTGTTGGCAGCGTGCAGGTTAATGTATATGTGCAAAGCATGTTATAAATATTAAGTACTATAGAAAAGCTGCTAATCTGCTGTAGAATCAGTTGAAAATTAGTTCATCATGCCAGGTCCTGAGTTCAGGGTTCTGTGCATCCCCTGCAACAGCTGATAACCCCAGAACAGTGTGAAGAAGGCAGTCTCCTGTTCTGTTAATGATGATGTCGACCATTCAGAGGTGGTGCTAGCCCATTTGTCGTCCCCCCCCCAACACAATAAAAGCAAATAGGGGGCCCCTTTGAGCTGCTTGGGGCCCTAAGCAATTGCTTAGCCTGCTTATGCCTAGTGCCAGCTCTCTGACCATTATATAGATCGTAAGCTCCTGTATAGACCTTAAGCTCTCTAGGACAGGCACTGTCTTGACTGTCTGTGTACGTACAGCATGTAGTACAGTTCTGATTCTCAA